AAGTCAATGGAGAGTTTCTAATTGACTGGCCATGTCTCAGGACCATGACGAGTGCACAGGGCATAGCCCCTAAGCGTAACCAGTTATGATTTGCATTTGTGGCTTTCTCCTTGATGGCCAAAACACAACCTAAGGAGAATGCAGACACCTTGATCTGGTCTCCTGCATGGGGCCAGCTTCTTCTAAAGAAAAAAGCCCTGCAGAGACAAATGTAGACCTTGTTTTAGCCAAACAATTTTTTTCTTAGGCATGCAGGTGAGCCACCTCCATCATCTTGCTGATAGCATATGCACTTTCCACGGGAGTCGGCTCCTGCAGGAGATGAATTGGGACAAGATCCACAGAAGCCTTTTGGCTCCAACACCTAGCTAGCACATGGCCCTACGCAGGAGTCAGACAGCTACATACATTTGTCCCATGTGCCAAGAATGAGCCTGTTTCATGGCTTGGGAGAGCAAAGCAAGGGACTACAGACACGGGCAGAGAGGAATGCTGCCAGATGTCTAGAGAAAAAGCAAAGGCGGCCCCTTGTCTGCTCAGTTTTCTGGGTTAGGACATCTCAGCCCAGAGGGGACCAGGCTCACGCCTGGGGCCCCTACCCACAACCGCAACACAAGCAACAACAACCCTCAGGGGGAGAAGTTTGGATCCACAGCACTGCAGCTCAGGCTTGTCATTACTTGAAGCCAAACTGGCTTTAGACACTAATCCACTGAACAATTTCCAGTTGTTATCAAAATCTATTGGACTTGTTAACCACGAGTCCCTGAGCTGATGTACCACTCCCCTCAGGTTCCAGTTCTCTGATTTGTTTGTTCAGAAATTATTTATTTGTCCTACAAATAGGAACAATGTTAAATTAACAACTGAAAAAAAATAAGCCACGCACCATGCCTGATTTCTAAAGGGCAGTCTGAACAGGTCCTTCTCCTGAAGATAACCATTCCCCCAAACATCAATGCCATTTTCCAGCCCCCCCCATCAAATTTCACTCCACGCTGCAGGCGTGTGCATCTGTGTGCGTACGTATGTGCTCACACCTGTTGAAAAATCCCATTCCTGGGCACTCAGCTTCCCTTCAAGCCCCTGCGGGATGCTCAGCAGGGCTGAAAATCCATGGGATAGCTGAGTGCACTGTGATTCAGGGATGCTCCAGGGGGCTAAGACCTGTCCTAATTCCCAACCTTCTGTGCCATCATCAGCATTGCAATTCCTGCCTGGCAACTTGGTGAAAGGAGTTGTGATTTAAGGGCAAAAGAAAGATGGCCAGTGAGTTCCCTACAACTTTGCAATTCACTGAAAGGATTTATTTATCTTGTCACAAATAGAGAAGCTAAAGGTAGGGTCCCAGCCACACTGTCCCAGGTGTTTATCTTGCTTGACGCTAGACAGCTGGAAATGATTGGGCTCAGAGCTCACTACCTTTGGCCTCTTCGACAGTAGGTAGAACTCAATAGGTATCTCCAGAGGATGAGTTCTCTGCACTATTCTTAGACACCTGCCCCAGGAGTTAATGAATCAGCCTCTGTGCTGCATGTTTCTTCTCAGGGGCACGAAGGGAGTGTTGGGTGATGCAGGCTCAGACTTGATAACGTGGAGCTTCGAATTGAACCTGATTCACCTACAAACTTTCATATGGGGACTTCCATGGGGTCAGCACAAAAACTGGTATAATATAAACTATTTCTCCCATGTCACTTTGAGTTCTTCCTCTGAAATTGTCTCCTCTGCATTCAAACACTCATTGAAAGGCCCAAAGTAAGCAGCGTAAATTAGTTTAAATCTAGGTGAATGTTAGGCTTGACTTTTAATTCATTACATCTTTATTCTCTACCAGTCCTGCCATTTCCCTGAGCCTTAATGCCATAACAGCTGTAAATCTCTATCTCTCTGTGTATGCACATTAAATATAATGTTTAAGGTTTCTGACTATCCCTAAATATTATTTCTAATACCCTTACACAAGTGCAGGATTGGTTGAAATTGGCAGAAACATTATTTTGGTGGGTAGGGTGGGGACTGTGTGTTTCAAATATGATTGTACAGCTGTATCACTGTGTACCTAAAAATTAAGCCTTTAAAAATATGCTTAATAATTATTATAAATTATTGAGAACTTGATTAAAGGAGTTGGGGAATGAAACCTGAAATGCAAAGGGAGCGAAAAACTTCAGAAGCCTTAAAAAAAAAAAAAAAAACAGAAGCAAAGAGCAAACAGACAGACCATGGTTTCTCCAAAAAAGGAGAAAAGAACCAATCCAGAGGTTCAGTCACTGTCGGAAGCTTGCAAAAAGACAGATATTAAAACTAAACCAATAAAATCTGGAAAACTTGCTCTGAGAACAAAGACTGGACCAACTCTCCCTTGTGGTTACTCCAAGCAGCAGCAGGATGTCCAAGCATGTCGCAGCTCAGCGCTGGCTCTGCACGGCCAGGCATGGCCCGGCGCGCCCAGCAATGCCCGCAGGCTGCCAGGGCTGCGCCCACGGCTGGTCCACACGGCTCCCCCTCGGGGGTGAACACACGGGGAGCACTGAGCACCTGTAATCACGAAGAAAATAAAGTACCACCGATCTGGGCTCCACACACGTGCACTCGCTGCGGCTCAGAGCTCAGCATGTTCCTACTGAAGGCCAAGGACATTTAGCAGGGACATTTGGGAGGCAAAGTGACTGCTCGCTTTTGCGCAGCCAAGCCATGAGCGCGCAGCACCGGGTGTGATTCCCAGCAGCTTCCCAAGGCGATGGCCAGCCCTCTGCCAGCACCTGCCCCCATGCATCCGGCTCCACGCAGCTCCCGCTGCTCCTGGAAGGGAGAGGGATGCACGTGTGCCCTGCACAGGTACAGGCACCACGGGGGCTTGCCAAGCGTGGGCACAAACCCAGCTGCCATATGGGAAAGGGAAGGAGCAGGGAAAGAACATATTCTGGGCTTTGCTTGGTTTTGTTGTCTGCAAAAGTAGTGCCGATAACCGGGGAGGGGGCAACGTGTGCGAGGGGTCTGAGCGTCCCTGCATGAGGCACGAGCAGGAAGGCTCATGGCGGCAGCGGGGAGCTTTGAGTCAAGTGAACTCGCTGCTAATCCCCTTCTACACAGTCTTTCTTGAGGGAGGAAATCTTATGACTCCAGGGAGAAGTACGTTGTGTAACTAAGCAATGGTGAACCCGAGTTGCATTTAACAGGGCTTGGCACAAGCACGACAGACTAGGATATCCATCCCAAGAGAGCGTGAGAGAGACCATCTCAGTGCATTGCCTGCCGGCTTCGAGTCCTTAAAAGCCCTGGTGTGGCCTTGGGAGAGGAGCTCAAGTAGAGGAGAAAAAAAAAAAAAAAAGAAAGAAAAGCCCCATAACCCTAAAGAAATCAGCTCACTGCACAGGTCTTCCCTGCGCTTGTTGTTGAAACATTGCATAATGTCTCTTTGCACTGCGCAGAGCTTTGAAATCTGCAGGATCAAAGCTGTATGGAGACACTATGGATGTGCTGAGAGAAATTTAAAGGCATTTTACAATTATATCAAGAAGCATGAAGCCACACTCTGGGCTCCTCTTGCTGTTCTACTATGACATCTAGTGGCACAGTGCAGTTTTACTGATGAACTGGGATCTGGGTTTCTGTTTCCAGGCCTACTCCTGTGCTCATCTCCTGAATAGCTTTTCCCATCAGTCTGAGAGATGTCATGTATGACTTTGGAAAAGGCTGTTCTGCCATTTCATCCTAATGGATTTTTCCGGATTTAACAAGTTGGGATTTAAATCTTTCACAGTGTGCAAGAGAGCATTCTGCTTCCTACAATGTACCACCAGATCTCCACATTTGTGTGCCTTGTCTTTGTTTTACAACTTTACGCCACAGATGCTGAAAACAGACAAAAGTGATCGTGGGTTAAAATGTGTGATCATTTAAGCTTTTCCTGAAAAAGAAAGCAAGCTAAAATTAAAAGATCTAGGTCACAGCAGCGTCAAGGCCGGTCTTCGAGCTCTTGGAGGTCTGAATTTACAGCTGTTACGGGGTGAATCCTGTTTGCAAACCATTCTCTAAATCGAATTGTTTCTCATACAGTTGGTTGTGTCTTTCCATACAATCCGGGCAAAATTTTTGTTCAGTCTGTTGTGTGAAATCAACAGCATGTGATCTGGTGTTAAAATAATGCCACTGAGTCACTGTGTAACCTTTGTCATGCTAGTTAAAAATGCCAACGCTGTTTGTGTGCGTCCCTCCCTGTGTTCTCGAGGGCAGTCTGCAGGGATGCTGGGCACTCACAGAAACAGAAAGGTCTAGTCTGTGGGCCTCAGCCTCTCCTGACTGATTAAAAGGAAGATGATTGTTCTACTTTTTATGTGTTTTGAAGCTTCATTGATATTGATAGGCATCAGGGAACTGTTTGGACAGTAAACGCTGCAGGCATAGTCTTCACGTAATTGCCACGACTGCCATAGCAGGGACGTGGCAGGCCAAAGTGACTGCAAACCAAGTCTGAAATTAAATGGTAGGTTAAAAATAATGTCTCTAATAAGAAAAGTAAGCAATAAAAAACAATGAAAAAAAAAAAAAAAACAAAACCAAACAGCTTAGTGCAAATTTCTCATTGGTGGCAGACACTGATGCAAAAATAGAAACCCTGGAGTTAAAAAAGAGCTCCCCAACACATGTCGCACTGATTTAATTAAGAGCATGAGCAACACGCCAGAGACGGAAGGGCTGGGAATTAGGGGTGCCAGGGCTGGGGGCGTCCGGGGAAGCCCCTGGGGCTTTGGAACCCATCCTGGTGGCACCCGCCCGGCCCCAGCCCATGGGGCTTGAAGGAGCCAGGCTCAACCCGTGAAAAACGCCCCGAAGCAGGCAAAGCCAGCGTGATGTGCCTTCGCCGGGCAGGCAATTTTGAATGGCAGCTTCTTCCCTCTTCCCCAGGAGCCGTCTCCCCTCAAGCCTCTGTGCAGGGGTCGGGCTCTTTGCTGGGCACGACGGCGGGCGAGGGCGGAGAGAGATCGCGGGAGGAAATGCCTCAGTTTTGGAGTTTTCACCCTGCCTGGGTCCCCGCGCCTCCCCAGCCCTGAGGGCTCCGGGCTGGTTTGCCCTCGGGCAGGACAGCGGCCGCCGCACCCCGCCCCGGCCCCGGGCACAAGATGGCGGCGGCCGTGAGGGCGACGGCCGGCGCGAAGGGCCGGGGCGGCGGGCGGCGGGGCGGAGAGGGCCCGGCGGCGCGGCGCTGAGGGGGTCGCCCGGCCCGCCGTTCCCCTGCCGCCTTCTGACGGGCTCCGGCGGCCCCGCCGCGGCGGGGTGGGGCTGCAGCGGCGGCCGCAGCCGGGCCGAGCAGCGGGGAGGTGAGGGGACACGACACCCTGCCTGCCCCCGGTACCGGCGATGAGCGGCGCCGAGGAGGCGCGGGAGCTGGAGGAGCGGCTGCGGGAGGCGGCGGCGCTGGGGGACGTGGAGGAGGTGCGGCGGCTGCTGGGCGCGGGGGCGGACATCAACTCCCGCAACGAGATCAACGGCTGGTGAGGGGCGCGGGGGGGGGCGGCCGGGCCGGGGGGCGGGAGCCGGCGCCGGGGTCCCGGCGCTGCGGGGGGGGGCGGGCGGGCGGCTGCCCGGGGCGGCCGGTTCCCGGGGGCGGCCGCCGGGCCGCGCTCGCTGCCGGGGGGGGCCGGCGCTGCCCTTGCCCGGGCTGTTCGGCCAGACGTGTGTCGGGCCCGGGGCTCCCCACGGGGGGCTGGGCACCCCTCGTTAGACGTGGGGGAGAGCTGCTTTGAGGACACCGCGCTTCTGTTGCCGAGTTTTCTTTTTTTACAAACAAAAAGGAACTGCTAATCTCAGGAGGCGCTGAGATTTACTGCTAAAGAGGATCACAGTAAGGAGGCCACCGGTCACTACCGTGTTTGCTCAAGGAGCTCTTCTGAAGTTGCTCCTGCCCACCAGCACGGCTCTTGGGGAAGGCAGTGGGGAGCCACTCCTCGGGCTGTAGCAAGGCAAAGGAGGTCCTTGCCCCACAGAACTTACAATAGATTCATCATTTTAAAAAAGTGGTGCAATGAAGGAAACTTTATTCCCAGTTCTTACCGCTTTACATGCAACTCTGGCAAATTAAGCTGGGTATGTGAGGAGGAGCTGGGGCGATAGATCTGAGGTTGACAGCACAGCCCCTCTGCTTCCTTCCCTGCCAGGACGTGTCTGCACTGGGCCTGTAAGCGGAACCATGCCCCGGTGGTGTCCTGCCTGCTGGATGCTGGGGCAGATAAGCAGATCCTCACGGCTAAAGGAGAGCTGGCTGCACAGTTAACTTCAAAACCAGAGATCCGGAGGATTTTGGGAGGTACTGTTCCCATCTGCAGTCATCTAGAATTCTTGGTCTGAAGACTAAAGTATTTTTAGTGCTTTTATCTGATGCAGTAGATTGGCAAAACTTTGGCTAGGACTATTGTATCTCATTAGATATCTCCAGTTTATAACTGTAATTCATACTCAGGCAAATAGACGAGGGGATTTCAGGATTTATTCTGGGCTATGTCATCAAGAGATCCGAGAGCTGTATACTTCGGGAAATTGCTGCTGCAGTCCTATCTGCACTCATTGAGCAGAAGCTAGCATGCAGGCTGCAAGTGGAGGCTTTCACAGTTGTACAACTTGACTGTTGTCTGACCATAAGAAGTCTTAGAAATCCACTCAGAACAACTGCAGCATTTCAGAAGTTGTAGTTTCTGAGTATTTTGTTGTACTGTGACTTGCAGTATGATTCATTTTTGCCCCATGCTTCTGTTACCTTACACTTTTCATATGCACAGCAAACCCAGTTAGATGTATGTGACACTCCTGAACACTGCCAGTGCCTATTTCCATCACCATCTAGGTACTGTGCTCCATATTAACACCTCTGGAAATGTTGCTGGTTTATTTTCTGCTAATTGCACTTAAAGCGCTGTCTACAATGATACGCTCTTACAGCAACACTGCATGGTTATCTTAAATGTAGTTGCAGTTGAATCATGACTAAGGTTACAACAGTCACAATTGAAGCAATGGCATGTTCTTTGCATGAGCATTTTTGTTTGCTTTTGGGCACGGTGCTCATCTCTTGGACTTAGTTCTCATGGCAAATGACTTGCGTTCTGTTTGTAACATCTAAACTATCAAGACCGAGTGAACGAGCTCTGTTACAGTTGCCTTATCTTGCATCTGTTAAGCTTTCATGTGTTTCCTGGGGAATAAACACTTATCACTTACATTCTCCTAAATGTTTTTTATTCTGGGAGTGTACTGCAATTGAGCAGATTTTTCTGAACTGCTTTGACATTAATATTAATGTCCTGTAATGCTTAGTCAAGAATGTCATTACTGCAGTACTTTTAAGCAGAAGAGTTGGCTTGGGTATTATATCAAATAGTCATGAACCTGAAGAAATACTCAGTTTAATTTGTTGACATGGGTCATAATAAACTATTTAGGCAGTGTTATTAAAAGCACTGTAAAATGAGATTTAGCAAAGAACTACTGGTCATACAGTTCCTTTGAAAATGCTGGAATAACACTGCTAGAAATTATGTGTCTTTCAACGGTTATTTTTTCCCCCACTTTGCTTTTAAAAAACACAATAAATTGCAGAGATCTGTAGATTTTTCTTTCATTCCACAGCTACTTGCCTTCCAGGTGTTACATGTTTGTAATACGTTAGTATCATCCTTTGATTACCTCAGAATGTGATGCAATTTTAAGGCACAACAAGAAAACTAACTGTATTCAAAATGCGAAAGGTCTACCCAATAACATGGTGGGGTTTTTTTCCCTTTCCAACCCTTAACCCCCATTTTTTAACTTCATTCATAGAGGAAGAAACTGAGTGTCAAGCAGTGAAGGATTTAAACTTGCCAATTGTTGCAAACCACTCGGCCGACCCACCGCTCCCTTACGTTTACACTGAAGAAACCATTCCGGACAGCTTGGCAGAATCCCGGAACGCGAGTGCTTCCACCTCTCCCGCTCCCCGGTGTGAAACTAGCCCCTGCTCGCCCGCAGCTCCGGTGGGGAGCACGTGCGCGCCGGCATCGTGCCCCAGCGACGAGGACTTGGCCGCCGCGGCTCGGCCGTGTGCGCCGCCCCGCTGGGCTGGCCGGCCGCCCTCGCCTGGCCGCACGGCGCTGGTCTCGCCCGGCGCGGCCCGGCAGCACGACAGGGCACCCGCTGGTCCCGCCCCGGCCTTTCAGCCCTTGTTCTTTACCGGCACTTTCCCGTATAACGTGCGAGGTAAGGAGCGGCGTTTCCCATCTTGCTGTGATACGATACTCCGTTCCACGGTTCTGATACAGGGCGGAGGATGAAGTTCAAGAACCATTCTGCTTTCAGACTCGTGGGGAATAGCGGCAGAGATGCTGAATTCTTTGGCCAAAAGTATCCAGAACCCTTTTTTTTTCCCCTTTTCTGCTCTGCTAAATAAAATGTTACCCTCTATTTTAAACATGGTGATGCTTTGCAAACCCACGGAAAGATCGGTCCAAGCAACATAAAAATTCAAATTTTGGGCTATATTATATAGCATCAAATGCATCTCTGGTAGGTTGGCAACGACTTCATGACTGGATGGATTAGATTTTTAACACTGTAAACATGATTCCCCTGAGTGCGTCTTGCTGTTCAAATGGAAGGTTCTGTTAACTGCCCAGTATCTCTCAGTGAGGTAACAATATAAAATAATTTGTATTATAAAACCTAAATTCAAAAGATAATGGTAAATACTGTTAGGTTTGGGTGGGTTTTCCTTTGTTTTTTTTTGGGGGGGAAAAAAACCCCTTTCGATCTTTTTTTTCAATCAGAACTTGTGCTTAAAGTGAGAGTCCAGAACCTCAGAGACAATGACTTCATTGAAATTGAACTGGACAGACGGGAACTGACCTATCAGGATCTGCTCCGAGTGAGTTGCTGTGAACTGGGTGTTAATCCTGAACAAGTAGAGAAGATCAGAAAATTACCTAATACGCTAGTAAGAAAGGTAAGAATTGAAATCAGAAATTGACTTTGCACTCTGCAGACATCACAGAAGGTGTTTTTGTAAAAAGATTGGCAAAACATGGCCTTGTGATAAAAAACAAAAACTGACTTAAGCTCACAAATTCAAAAGGATATTGGACTTTTCTTAAAACTTCATCACGTACTTAAAAATACTCTTGTCAAAATAGAGTATTTTTCAGCTTCTAAAGTGCATGAAACTATTACAACTTGACTTTTAAAAAAATGTATTAGAAACAGTGCATTAGTGTGCTTTTAACGTAATTGCCACATACTTCTTCACTGATTGCCTAAAAAGAACAAATAGTAAGGGGGAAAAAGCCCACAAATTGGCATATGAATAATTTAAAGATACGCTGTTATCAAATGAACATGCTCTTCTGTTCCAAAAGTACCTATTCTGGAAGGCTGTAAATGAAATGTATTTGGTCACAACTCTTTGTTAAGTGACATGCACACAGTCAGATCATGAGGTTCAAGACGATACATGGTTCAAGGAAAAAAAAAACAAACCCGAGCATGCTTTGAAGAGTGTATACAGGTAGCACTTTTTTCTTTCATTATTTGTTCTTATCATTGGGTGTGACCTCTCTGGGATTTTAATTTTTAGTTCCTTTAGCCATTATTATAAAATAACCAGGTATGCTTACAAGTAATGTGTAGCTCTGTCTGTTCTTTAAAAGGACAAGGACGTTGCCAGACTTCAGGACTTCCAAGAGTTGGAGTTAGTTCTTGTGAAAAGTGACAACTCTCCCTTCAGAAATGCTGCATCAGCTTTGACCGAGAGACCGTGCTACAACAGCAGAGCATCGAAGCTGACTTACTGACTCGTCTAGATGTATCTGGAGTGTGAAAAGCTGGTAATCATATGCTGCTGCCTTTTGAAGGCAGTGAATTAAGCATGTGTAAAACCTTAAGTTATTGTTAGGGTTACTATTTTAACTAATAGTTTATCTTTTATATTTAATATCCCCTTTGCTTTTATTTTTTTACTTGATACTGTATTCAGATAAGGGATACCTCATTTGTCTACTAAAATCACATGCTTCCAATGTATTTCAGTGAAGTTTATTGGTATTTGGCAACAGAGGGCAGGAAAGACTTAATTACTGATATGAAATGTATGTTGAGTACTCCCACTCTTTGACCAAATAAGACTCACGGAGAAGAGATTCAGGAAATGGTGTGTGCGTCTGTGTGTATATATATATATGTATTTTTTTTAAACTTCCTGATTAAGTTAAACGTCAGAGCGTATTTGGCATATAATGAGCAGTTGCTCTCTAAAAATGTAAAACTTGCAAGCCCCTTCACAAAGACTTGCCAAGATGTGTTGTCTTGCCTGCTACGGATAGAAATATTTAATGCTCTGAAGTGACAGGAGAAAAATTTTCACTTGGCTGAAAAATAAGTAGTGTCCCCACTGAAACGTTTCTTTCCCATCTGAGAATACTGTAACTTAAGTGATGGCAACCCTCCACATCCATAAAAAAATACAAAAGCCTCTCTTAATTAAGGAGCATTTAAGTCACAAAGCAAGTTAAAAGTGCCCTTTCAAATGAAAGCCCTTATGTTTCAGGAACTAGGCAGGGGATCACAAATCTGCGTCCATAGCTTTATTTATTTTCCCACCGCTGTGAGGAGACTCTGCATTATCCCCACCAAAATTCAGTACTGTTAAGTCAGCTGCGTTCCTTGTGGCCCACCCTCGCTGACCAGTTACAAGGCGCGTGGTTGGTTTCTGCTGTGAGAGGAGCAGGAGAAGCACAACAGTATACGCTTGAGGTATCACAACTGTAAGGAGCAGTCGCTCTTGATTAGCCATACTAAACTAGAAACATACACCACTAGCAAATAACTAACCTGTAACTTTACATGTTGCACAGTCTACTGGCACCTTTACGTACTGTCCAGAGTTTTAGCCAGAATACTGAAAGGGCTGAAGGCCTCCAGGTGCTTTCAACTGAACTTTGTGGGGGGAGAAAACCCCCAAGACTCTGGTTAAGCTACAGACTGCTTAACTTGCATTTCAGCAAGTCAATAATAAAAACATCCACCTGTGGTTTTATGAATGGCAAAAGTAATCATTAAAACACACCCTGAAGTCACTCCCTTCCCCTGCAAACGAAGTATTTAAGTCGAAGCATTGCTGGAGGCTTTTCCTGTTAACGTGGCGGTCTAAGTTACACCTTAGGAGGCTTTTTGTCTTTCGTACCAAAAACTAGGATAATGACCTTTGCACCAAAAACCTTAATTGGGAACTAGGGGGTGTGAAGGAGTTGTTTTTTCTGAACATGAGCTGCTTTTTTCTTCCCCCAATAGTACTGATTTTCCTCCCATCTCTGCTTTATTAAGCTGCACTAGAGCAGAGTTTAGGCACAGCTGATGCAGTGTTTGTTGTTGATCTGGATTGTAATGTTGACATTCAGGCCATAAATAGTACAATCAACATGTTTTGGTAGGAGCAGCACAGCTGCCACCCTCTCTCAGCTTCCTGCAGCACAGCTGCTTTATCCTCAAAGTGGCTCCCCCAAGCGAGGTTAGTAAATGCATGCACAGCCGAATACAGAAACCCCTTCTGCCAGCACAAGAGATGCTGGACTCCAGGTTCAGGATTTCACCAACTTACTTAGGCTTAAAATTCTTGCATAGTGCATTCAGAATAATTATAATCTTTTCCCACTTGCTCTTTTCACTTAAACTCTGCTGACTTGCTGTTCTCAGTCCTGGCCCTTCTCTATCCAGGAGCTGGCCTACCCTAAAGCCCAATTCAACTCCTGGTAAGCTCAAGACTGACACAGTATGAAGTAGTTCCTTAACTCTGGCTCCCACCTCGTTTTTCTTGTAGGACAGGAAAGGGTTTTATTTTAACAATTGTATATTTATCTTTTCAGCACAGCTTGGAGGCTAGTTCAGATTATGTGCAATAACTGTTTGAAAAACAGGAGTAGTTAAATGGTTCAAAATTAAGAGTAATTTCTTTTCAGTTTCTTTGTAAATCCAGTGTAAAGACTGCCTCCACTAATTACTGAACATTCAGCTATAGGAGCAGCTGGTTTAAAAAAAACCAAACATCTTTATTTGCCCTAGTTTTCACCAAGAATAACTGTTAATGTGACAAGACTAAAACTTTAATCATGATCTGACTGTAATAATAACAGTAAGTCTATGCATTCAGAGAAATATTTTTGTATGTTTTATGCAGTTTGATAAATTCTAAGGCACACTAGTTATGTTAACTGTTTTTTGCTGGGTTTTTCCTTTGAACAATAAACTGTTGGTATGACAACTGAAACTAAGTTTACAATACTTACTGTTCTTCCAAGGACAACTTTTGTTTGCACTACGGACTTGTACTGAACTGACATTGCTACTCTTCACTTATATTAAAGTATCAGTTGTTTCAAGTACCCAGATCTCTTCCTTTTTCAGGGTGTGTGTGGGGGGAATGATACATGGCACTCCTGGAATGGACAGGACCCTCTTAAAATTTCAACACAACTTTGGAAAAAAATCACAGGCAAGTGCATTTTTAACACCTAGTAAGACTGGCAGGTTGCCAAAACCAGGATGGAGAAAGCATGTAGGAGGTGCTTACTGAAATAAACTACTTGTTTTTTATTTAGCATTCCCAGAAAATCTGAGATTATATTTATTTTGGGATTGAGCTTTGAAGACAACACTTTTCACACAGATGAATCTGTTGCCAAGATGCTCATTACAGTCAAATCAGAAGGCAGTTACTACAAAGGCACCATGCTTCCTATGCTCTGAAAGACAGAATTTTTCCTTCAACACACTAGAGAAAGACTCCACTATCAGCCATGTCAGAATCTGAACCCCAGTCCAGTTTACTGCAAGGTACCTCATTTTATCATTTATACCTCTGCAAAATAAAGAAAGGAAAATGCTAGTCCCATAACAAGTATGTGCAATGGAACGTGTAAGACAAACATTTTAGCCACTGAAAGAAGTAACACATCGAGGCAGTAGCTGAATCATATCTCTTGCACAAGTTTCAAAAGGAAAAGGTGTTCATGCAATGTCCATAATTAGAACTTAATTATAGTTTTGTCTGCTCCCACTTGCATTAATTTTTCTAGTTACATTTTTCAAAAAACCCCCACCACCCAATCTCAATCCCCTGTGCCCCTGTAAGGGTGCCTGCTTTAGAATGATCAAAGTCAGAAAGGGAACATGGCTGGCTGCATGCGATAGTACTCCATTTCACCAGAGGAACTGACATGCAGATCCTTTTGAGTGCCCTTCCACAAACAGATGAGACTTGCCAAAATTAGAACAAGCAAGTTACAATAGTGCTTTGTCCACATATGACTTCAGTTACACGTACAGTCAAGCCCTGAATACAAACACAAAGGATAATGCTTTTTTAAAAAAATGTAAATTCAGTGCCTTACAGCAGTGAAGTATGCTTTACTGTTGCTGACTAGTACACATTGCAGTTCCTTCCCAACGAGAACTCCGCTTGCTTGCACTACAGCTTCACACAAAAGCCTACGGCATGTCTCGCTTCCCTTGTGTCTGTTCTGACACGCAGACTGCGCACGCTTACCAACTGCACACAGCTGTTAATGAACATTCCCAACTGATTCTACAATGCAAATACAAGGCAGGCTGATGGCCAATCTCAGCAGGGACATCTTTCTGATAATGCTGTAAAAGTTTAACTGCTTTTTAAGGCCTACATTTTTATTGCGAGATTTCTGTAATTTCCTAACTAACTGCAGCATAACCCAGACTTCTTAGGGGACACAGTATGCAACTGCCTCTAACTGCTGAAAACGTAAGCTTGAAATGAAATACTAACTGATGGCACCAAAAAACCCCAAACCCACAGACACCACAGAATAACTAAGCATCCAAATTAATGGACTAAGCTTGAAGACATGAGTAGATTTATTAGGAAAGAAACTTATTTAATATTAAATGTTCAATGACAGAGACAATCGGATTTGTAACAGAAATTCAAAGATACTTTATTTCCATTTCTCGTATATCAAGAAGCTAGGAATAGCTTAGTTGTAAAAATGGGATTCATTTTAGTTCGATTCACACAAATACTAAACATTTATTCTTGTGTTTTAAAGTCCAAGAATGAAAACTTGCAATTAAACACTGAGCAAGCCATGTGTTCAGGTTATGTTGGTTTCTTATCTTAAAAAGTCTTAAAGAAAAAAAGGATACAGGACTTATATTCTCAGTAGCATATGTGCTATTATCAACACATCTTTCTGAACACTGGGAGGAAACACCAGTCCTGAATTAAATTTTATAAAAAAAAAAATTTCTAACTCAACTTTATATTTTTCTACGCCACTACAGCTTTCTTTCACCTCATTTTAAAGCAGATCTTCAGTTTAAGCTGTCTTCCTCTGTCTTCGCAGACTCTTCATGTAGTAGTCCTATAATGCAAAATTTTGGGAAAACAGACAATTAGACAGCATTAAGAGCATTTAGTTTACCATTCCTATATATTGGCCCAGTTGTTAGCTGTCATCTTAACTCTACAGAAATGTCAACATTGGCCATGACTGGCTTTAGAAGCAATTATATAGCATTAACGGTTTAACAATCAACATTAAGTGTTGAAGAGTTCCTAGCATAAATAATGACACTACAGTAATAACTTATGGTGCAAGAAGCTCATTTATCAGCTGTACTCTCCACTGTTAGTTCCTTATTTCAGGAATACAACTAAAGACCTTCTGTAAGAGTAAGAAAGCTATGTCAAGAGTGGGGAAAAAACTTCAAGTTTTCCTTTAAATACAGCATTTTTATTTCCTATTGTTTAGCCGTTTCATTTCCAACAAACAGTTTTTCAGCATACATTCTTGCCATGAACATTGTAATTGTGTGGTGGCATCTGTCTTTGTATTTACATTTGCCTTAGAAGTCTGTTATCAGCCATTCCACTTCTCTGTACTATGGCTGACTGCAAATTCTCCTACACAGTAGGAAATATTAAACACATACCTCTTTAAAGACTTGAATTGCATTGAAAGTAACAAGGCGATTATTATGTAGTGTTTATTGCATTTTAAACTCTTTAAAGATATCTAATTCTGGGCAGCACTGCATCCCTACATACAGTTGAAAGAAAATTCCATTCTGTTAACATCAGATTTACAGTATTCACACAATACACAAAAAGTCCTTTTCACTATCTTGAAAATCAAAAACACAACAGTAAGCTTAAAGATTACAGGCAACAGCATTCAAACATGGATGTGGGTAGAGAAAGGAGTACCTGGCATGAGTACCTGCTTAGTTTGACTGAATCCTTGATTTTTAATTTGGCTTTTCATGGGCCGCTCACAACACCAACGCTGTGTGAGGTATGGTAGTCAGCTGCAATAATTCATAAACCCTACACTTCCATCAATCCAATGCTACTGGCTCTCGAGTTACAGAACAAACTGCATTAGAATGCAAGGCAATAAAGCAAAAAAACTAGAAACATCCTTGACAAAGAAATACTAGCAGTTTATATGAAAACAAAGTAGTCCAACATGTGCCTCAAATATTAAGTATTAAAGCAAAAGTTTCTGCTGATGTACCAACACAATATGGACTTAAATACAAAAACAGTTCAACTTTTTTAAAAAACGATAACAAAATCCCTAAAAATAAAAAAAGGATAATTAATTTTTCTATGGTGACTATATTACAAATATGTCCCAAAGAGGCACACTAATGGGGGCACGAGTCTGCTACAAAATAGCTGAGACAAAACAATGTACCTCAAAATGTTTTGCAGGACTACACTGTCTTTTCCTTCAGAAGGTGCTTTAGTATGTCTTCTTACTTGGCTTAGTTCCATCTTCATCTGTGCATACTTACGCTGCACTGTTAAACAGTAACAAAAAGCCCTAATCAAAGTTTGAAATAATGCACTTACCTCTGTCTGATCTGAGGTCATATCAGATCAGTTTTAATTGGACTGAGTGTCACCTTCAGATTTAATGTCTTCACTGGTCCCATTGACCTCATTCTTAGTATCACTCTCCTTCGAGTCTGTATTTGTGTCTTCACTCTGTTTTTCTCGACTACTGGACTTCATACTACTTTTTTTATCATCAGATCCCCTCTTTTCTGCCATGAAAGAAGACATTGACCATGGATTTCAAAGTAAAAACAAACATTGCACAGGTGAGATATATATTGCATACAAAACGGGACAATTATTTTCTACAGCAATAACAGTAATACTCAAAAAGTTACAGAAATAGGCTTCAGGCTACCATGCTGGAATGAAGAGGGTACAAAAAAAGGTCAAAGGGGACAGTACAGGGTGGGGAAAAGAGGAGAAAGGACAGACCTCCTAACAGAGGCAGCTACTCAGCTGTCTGTTGAAATACACCAACTGGGGGGTAAAGAGGCAGTCAAGAAGTTAGGCAAATGTGTAATTACACGGCATGGCTTCCTTACTTATCATGGGACTCTTTTTGTCCCCAGGTTTTAATTTATCGTATCTATGGCCACCTTTCATTTACAATTGTCATTAAATACGGCTCTTGAAAAGAGAATCAAAAAGAATGATGGGACAATGCATCAGTGCATTATCAAATAAATCAGTATCTGCCAGTTAAACAAACTAGCAACTCCAAACAATCAAATACTCGGGGAAACAAATAATATTAAGCACCACTAAGTCTGCAAGGTAGGGATCACAGTGACAACCAAAATGTCATAGGAGCTGCATGCTTGCTAGTGCTATTAATTCTCAATTTTATAAAAACATCAGTCATTTATAATCCACTCCTTAAAAAGGCTTGGGGACACAGTTGGGAAGATATATAAAAAGCACTGTTTTTCAAAGACAAAGGAACAGCGAGATGGGAAGGATCCCAGTTTCATCATGAATTGGAAAGTTGACTGAAGAGTTTCCTACACTGCTAAAAAATTCATTTTTTCCTCAATAATCTTCAATGAAGGAAGGAAGCCAGAAGCAAAAATATTTCCATGGGAAGAAAAACATTCAGTATTAGAGCTGCGTGCCTCATCCATAAATTCCATATTTGCAAATTTAATAAAAATATCAATTCTGTATTATTCCACACCATAATATTCAACCTTTGATAAGTAAAGACACTTTGGAGATAAAAAAATAAAGATTTGAAAAACCAACCTCTTGGATGTCATCATACAGAACAACATTCATGCGCTTTTTTCTGATTATTCCCTGCTATCCGGGCAATTAAAATAATATATATTTATATATATCCCCAACACAGGAGCACACAGATTGAACACTCTGAAAAAACTATTTTAAATAATGTTATCACCTAGACTGGCATAACACACTTTTAAATTCCAGAAGACAAAGTAGAAATTAAGCTTTAAAAGAGAAGCAACATCCCAACTTCTTTGTTTTAAAACAGACCACCAA